ATGAACGATGTGAATCTGCTAGGTTGTTTACAACCTTAGTCATTTATCACATCGTTCTTTAATCAAGCCACACCAAAATTTTAATATAACTGTCTCAATACCCAGAAAATGTTTTATAATGACACCTTAGTCTGTTTCTGTACAATATTGGACCAAGTAGTTCAACAATTTTACAATCCAGTCATTTGCGCTTTGGAAAAATGGTTGGCTTGATTATGGAGGGTCCGCTGTAGTCCAGTAAGACCCAATATCAGGACGGTTCTGATCATCTTTGTTTCTCGCAGAAACCTGCCACGACTGGTGAAAATCATCATCCCTTCCGTCATGGTCATCTACCTGCTTACTGTGACGTCATACTTCACTGTACTTACAGAGGAGGAGATGGTTGGAGCTCATTCCTTTGGTGTGGTACGTATCTCTTTTCGCTTGAGTAGTAGTGTTTGGTCTTTCATTTGAACGCATAATAGTAAAAATTCAAACAAAACTGTGTATGTAGATATCTTGTGTCTTCACAAGTAGTGTTTGAAGAAATATCGATGTTGTCTAAAGCTATCACAATTGTGCTCTAATACATCATGGTTTTGTATCAAATCGTCACACCTGTTTCTGATGCCATCATAATGGTGCTTGAAGCCACCCGGTTGTATCCAATTTCCAACAAAAGACGCTATCTTGGAATTTCTGCAAGACGTTTGTAAGCGTCAACGTGGTTAAATATTTAATTTATAATTTGAATGAAAATAATATCAGTGGAAAAATATTTGAAGTGGAAGGTGTTTAAGGGAGAGTCCCACAAAACGTCTACCGTATACAAGTCTTAAAATGTTATTTTCTTTATAAATTTATGTTATTATTTCTATATTTATGCAAATATTTTTCTGCTATTTATAATATTACTAATATGTCTCGTGAATCAAATTTCTTTACAGTTATGGGGGAGAAAAGCACTTGGAAAAGCAGCTTTCATCATTCCTATAGGTGTCGCTATGGTGGCGTTAGGAAACGCCAATAACACTTTTCTTTCTTCTGGCAGGTAAAGTCTGGGTTTTTTCTGGAAATTGTAGAAACGTTTACTTATAATTAATATAATTATGAAAATTAAACTTTTATTTTGTAAAAATATTCACAAATAATTTGCAAAATATGTCATGCTTCTATGCAATAATAACGAAATCATGTACGAAAATCAAGACGGAATAAACCAATAGAGCTACAATTAACGAAGGAAGACAAATTTACTCTTCCACGGTTACGTAATAAAATTCATCTCGACAGAACCGCTGGGCTATTATTCCATATAAACTGACATCACTCAATGTTAACTTGTAGTATATAATATTTGGTGATATTTCAGACTATCCCAGTTCTCCGTTCATGATGGCTACATACCGGATGTCTTGTCGTTTGTTCATGTAAAAACCAAAGCACCACTTCCGGCAATCATATTGCGCGTAAGTATACATACCCATGTTAATAGTCGATTGCTTGAAATATTAAGCGCATTACGATAAAATTACAACCAGGACCCTTTGAATTATGTCTGATATGTATAGATGTACTATACCCCAAATCCATGACAAACAATGTGTATGATAACCATTTTTTAAACGTTTGAATGTCTGTTCTTCCTTTTCTGTTTGAAAACATAAATCGTCTCTTTATGATTTGAGGATGGTCCCACTTTCTAAAGCATTGGCAATTTAAAGGAACGCTGCTACATAATGAGAAAAACCTCCTATTTCTTCTGAGGTTACTTTTGCTTTTCTTGAAGACAATACAATGTATCCTTTTTTCCCGAACACAATATACCACCCTACATTTTCAGGTTCATCTGTCGGATGTATTGGAAGAATTGTAACTGCATCTGCAGTATTAATGTAGGCTCCTTTTCAAATGTTTATGATAAAACTGTAATTAAAATCAATGAAGTCCAAAAATGGAGCACCTTATACAATAAATCACTTGCGAGAGATCAATTTTGCTTTATATTCACGAGATGGTCTTTTGAATCATCAGCGAGTAATTGTTTCATACATAATTACTTCCAATGTTGCAAAATCACCTGTAAATAGCGATTTATAGAATTCGCGCGAAACACCTTCATGCAAAGTTTGCGAAGATAAGGCTAATAATAGTATTAAATGCAACTGCTTACCTGTGTCTTCCCAGGCGGTGAGTGGTGTAGTGATTGCCCTGGCGGTGGACGTGTCACAGATGGTGCGTTTCTGGGTGTTTACCGTGTGGTTATTCCATGGACTTGCGGTTGGTGGACTGCTTATCATGAGGATCCGAAAACCACACCTAGACAGACCATATAAAGTAAGATATACTCTCATAAATTACTAGTGGAATTTTGGAGCACATCTATATTAACACATACAACTCATATTCCCTTATTTTCAAAAACATTTGTATTTCTTGGAAACACAAATTTCAACTGATCAAGGTGTGAGCATCATGCTAAAGCATTTTTAGGATTCAACTGTTGGGCATTTCTTAAAACAACTTTATGAAATATTTTATCCGCAGGTTAACATAATCATTCCGTTCCTGGTGACCTTAGGCTCGGTCTATTTAATCTTGGCGCCCTTCATTGCGAACGAGCCCCGACCCGAGTTCATCTTTTCCCTGTGTCTGGCCGCCCTCTCGATGCTGTGCTACTTCCCATTCGTACGCTGGAACTGCAGCGAACATATGAGTGGTGGCAAATTCACAGGTTTGTGCCTTGTAATAGCAGACAGTGGTAATTAGATGAGCATTGAACTGTGATCTTTTATGTAAAACGGAAATATTTCGTGAAAGTTTAACCAAAGTTTCTGCATAAATGCTGTTTGGTTGATGTCAATGATATTTAAAAGCAGTTAAGGACCCCTCTTTCGCTGCATTATATTATTTAGTGTATGCAGCAATCTCTCTTGGTTTCGATTTGGATTTAACGGTAGCATGGTTTTGCCAGGAAGCTCAGTCGGTAAGAGCAATTGTATACCAAGCTAAAGTCAAGGGTTCGAATCCCTGTCTAGTCCCGCTGAAAGGTCCGGTAAATCTGGTTTTACAGTGCATGGCTTCAGATTTTGGAAGTGGTACAGGGACATACCTGCATTTGAGACCCTAATATTATCCTTATCAGATTCGACTTTGGACATTTGAAATTCCCTTGGTTTACATATATATTTTCATAAAGCAACTCAAAGGTTTTATCTGTATGGAGTTATCAGGCAAACAACTATCACTTCATGTAGCATTTTAACATTTATTATCATCAACATTATCATCATTATTCCTTTTTTCTACTTGCAGACAAACTTACAGTTTTTCTTCAGCTGTTTTTGAACGTTTCACCATTTATGTAAGTTCATAACGAAACACAAAGAACTTATTTGGTTTTAATTTAAACAAATGGAACTCTATAGAAAGTATTTTCTCTTCACAAGTTATAGGTACCAATCCCTTTATTGTGAAATCAGATATTTTCTTGGTGCCCAAATTCCGTGGTTTCCCGACAATATACCATTTCTTTGTCCATGAATTCTTGGATTACGAAATCCCAATCAAACGGATAATTGCTTTATGTAAAACTTACAATTTAGTGATTTCACAGTAGATTGTATCTTAATTCAATCCTTGGAAACTATAGCTCTAGAACACATTCTTGAAATAACTTAATATCAATGGAGAATGCGGCAGCACCGCTAATGCATCTTCTGGAGAAATGTAAACTTTTTTTCAAGAGCGTGCTCTATAGAACCTTACAGTTTTGGCTGAATATTAAGATTTCATAAATGTATAACGTAAATAGTGATAGTGAGATGATGGTAAAATGTGATAAGTTTATGGTGAAAAAGTAAATTGGCAACAGTGACTTGCTTTCAATATCTGCATAGTTTTTAACAAACATTTAATTTTAGTTTGATAAAACAGGTGATAAGAATGCATCTAAATTTCATGAACCACTTTGAAGCTCATTTCATAAATATCTTTTGAGATAATTGACAGTTGACATATATAAGAAACACGTTGATATCTACAATGTTGCACTCTAAAAATCTATGTTCTCATGGTTAAATGTTTTTTTTTTCAAATGGATTGAACACAAATCACTTGTATATAGAGCTATGCATACATCTATATTAACTTTATATTTTTAACAGCAAGCGGTACAAGCGGAGGTTACGTACTAAACGCCGCCACGGACCTGCTACAGTGAGCCCTGTTGTCCCGGATAAGCCGGTTGTGCAAGAACCTAGTTCTCCATCCTCGGACATGCCTTTCTCTGACACCATGTCCATTTTTACTATTGACACTATAGATGATCTCGACGATACAATGACTGTTGATGACCGGGAGTCGGTTGTTTCATTCAATACTAACTATTCTTACCGAACAAACCTGTCGTTCCGGACGCGATCTTCAAGTTCCAGTTCTCGACCACCACCGTATGAAGAGGCCATTGAAATAACAAAACTCTGACACAAGCTTAAATTTTGACCCAAAAAGAGAAATTTAACCCCAAGCTTGACCCTTCTACTGTTTTTGACCTGGTGTAATACTCAAACAAATCCCAGTAGTGCTCAAGAAGAACAAAACAATTTCGATCCATAGATCCTAGCTCGTCGAGGGATTCACCCGTGGCGTCCTAGAAACCATGCATGCATGGTTTCACATGTATCACAACAGAATCCGGCATCACAAGGGCAGAGAAGACTCGTCAAAACAGTTTATCTGGTGTTGAAATGTACTACAAGTCTAATACAACCATACAAGAGCAACGTTTGGTCCTGGAAATGACAGAACGTTTGTCTTTGAAAGACATTTGTGCAGTTTACCAAACGGTTACTCGTGTACTTGGTGCAAAAGCTTCAGTTATAGTGCTAAATAATAACACATGAAACGTGATAAATGTTTGCATAATTTATATTTTGTGACTTAACTTAACATTATTTAATATTTATAATCGTGATATCATAGCGGTCTGATTAAAATCATAGTTATGCAATAGCTAGTATAAGTACGCTTTAAAACAAGTAAAAACAAAAACAAAAACAATACGAACTTACATCTATCAATATGTAAGGCCTGTTTCGATTGGATGGAGAGGAAATCCCCTGTCCTTCTAGTGTATTAATTGGTTTTTGTACCAATTGACCAAGTAATAGGACCACGTTGAAACATCCTTAATGCATTTATTGTCGAGATGTTATTTCGTTCTTAAACACTAGGTATAGAGCAAGAATTGGCCTGCCTGAGTATAGTAAGATTCAACAAGCCCCTAAAATGATATCGTCACCCTAAATGTCAACCCCCTGGTAAGTCATATTCAAAGAACCTAATTAAAAATCGGAATATATTTGTGTAATTTTGATATGTTGAACATGTATATATGCTAATTAAATGGCCAATTTAATGTAGTCAATACTTAAGCATCAAGTTTGATGTATTAAAAAAAATAGCTCATCGGTCTTATAATATGTCAATCTCTCTTGCGGCTGTACTGAGTCCTAAGAAATGATAAACTGTTTAAAGTTCATTT